ATGGAGTAGCCAATTATTTATGGTTTAATAAATTATTTAACTACTTAATTTTTTTCTATTTGGATGATTTATACAAAAATAATTTTATTTTAATTAATACAATAATATAAGTGTTACAATTATAGTTATTATTTATAGATTTTTAAATATATGATAACTTTTTACTAAAATATTTATTTTATGGAATCACATTGTAGTCAAATTAAATTTCTGAATAAAAATTTTAAAATGACAATTATTTTGAATGAATATATGTTATATCTATTTTGGGATTAAATTTGTGTCATTACGATGTTTAGCGAAATTAAATGATCAAATTATTGTACAAAAACATTAGCTAAGGAACTTAATTTAGATTGTGGAGTGATTAAATATGGACACCTGTTAATGTTATTATTTGGCGACGTAACAAATAATAATATTAAACTTAAGGACCTAATTAACAAATGATTTGGGTCATAATTATTATGGGTGGAGTCCCCAAAAGCCGTGATAAATACGGGGGTCTTTTAAAATTTTTCATTAAGTTATAAGAAGAAGAATATCGTTCCCCACAAGTCTTCACCAATTTGTCATTTTTTTTATCTTCGTACGTCAAAAGAGAAGAGTTATCGAATTCACGGCTTTTTGGAAGAACACCAAATCCCAAATCCAAAATCCCAATCAATTTTAGTGCAATCAATCTATATGAATCCATCAGGTACACTTCCGCTATTTGATTATGATTTTCGATTATTCAATATGAACGTTATTGGGACTAAGAAATTTATTTCGCACAAGGCTATATCCAAATTCTATCAATATAATGTAATTTATTATCAGAACGTGCACCGCATGAGTTGTGTACTAATTTTAAATAGACATGATTTATGTAGTTTTGCACAATTTAAATTTTATATAATATTGTCAATAAATTATTACATAAATCAATTCATACTAGTACAATGCCCGTGTGTTACACGGGTGCTTGCTAATTTTTTTCCTTAAAATCTAAAATTAATGAGAAAAATAGCTGAAAATATAAATATCTTTTATTATAATATATATATTATTATATATTTAGTATGACACTTTTTATTTGTGTGACTTACTTGTGTTATATTATAATAATTTTTTTAACTTACAACATATAACTACATTAAACATAAATATATCAACTGAGAAATAATTTTATTTTTCTAATAAATTTTAATAAATATTCTTATTTTTCATTAATATAAAGATAAATATAATTAATTTATTTTATATATACAATATGGATGTCAAATAAAAAAACATGAAAAGATGATTAATTTGATATATTATATATGTAAAACCGATAAGAAAAATAAAAGTTATCAACTTTTAAAATACATTTATAATTCAATAGCTAATTGAAAGAAACAAATCAAAAGTCAGGGATATATTAGTCACTTAGTGTCTCACTATGTAAGATTACAAAGAATTAAAAGGTTATATTAGTACAAGTAATATTAAAATACCTAAGTTAGCTAAATAATATTTATAGAATGTCCGAACCTAGATTATTAATTATTAATATATCAATAATATTTGTCCAAACCTAATTACAAAGCATCATTCTTCGCTAAGTAGGATTCCGAAGCACCATAAACAGCCACGTAGGATCAGCGCATTCGGAAATTATATATAGGAGGGATTTATTTTATATATACAATATGGATGTCAAATCGAAGATCATCAAAAGATGATTA